TGTATTACAGGTCAGAATAGGTCCCCAGTACCCCATGTGTATTACAGGTCAGAATACGTCCCCAGTACCCCATGTGTATTACAGGTCAGAATACGTCCCCAGTACCCCATGTGTATTACAGGTCAGAATACGTCCCCAGTACCCCATGTGTATTACAGGTCAGAATAGGTCCCCAGTACCCCATGTGTATTACAGGTCAGAATAGGTCCCAAGTACCCCATGTGTATTACAGGTCAGAATAGGTCCCCAGTACCCCATGTGTATTACAGGTCAGAATAGGTCCCCAGCATCCCATGGGTATTACAGGTCAGAATAGGTCCCCAATACCCCATGTGTATTACAGGTCAGAATAGGTCCCCAGTACTCCATGTGTATTACAGGTCAGAATAGGTCCCCAGTACCCCATGTGTATCTCAGGTCAGAATAGGGCCCCAGTATCCCATGTGTATTGCAGGTCAGAATAGGTCCCCAGCACCCCATGTGTATTACAGGTCAGAATAGGTCCCCAGTATCCCATGTGTATTACAGGTCAGAATACGTCCCCAGTACCCCATGTGTATCTCAGGTCAGAATAGGTCCCCAGTATCCCATGTGTATTGCAGGTCAGAATAGGTCCCCAGTACCCCATGTGTATTACAGGTCAGAATAGGTCCCCAGTACCCCATGTGTATCTCAGGTCAGAATAGGGCCCCAGCATCCCATGTGTATTACAGGTCAGAATAGGTCCCCAGTACCCCATGTGTATTACAGGTCAGAATAGGTCCCCAGTACTCCATGTGTATTACAGGTCAGAATAGGTCCCCAGTACCCCATGTGTATCTCAGGTCAGAATAGGGCCCCAGTATCCCATGTGTATTGCAGGTCAGAATAGGTCCCCAGCACCCCATGTGTATTACAGGTCAGAATAGGTCCCCAGTATCCCATGTGTATTACAGGTCAGAATAGGTCCCCAGTACCCCATGTGTATCTCAGGTCAGAATAGGTCCCCAGTATCCCATGTGTATTGCAGGTCAGAATAGGTCCCCAGTACCCCATGTGTATTACAGGTCAGAATAGGTCCCCAGTACCCCATGTGTATCTCAGGTCAGAATAGGGCCCCAGTATCCCATGTGTATTGCAGGTCAGAATAGGTCCCCAGTATCCCATGTGTATTGCAGGTCAGAATAGGTCCCCAGTACCCCATGTGTATTACAGGTCAGAATAGGTCCCCAGTACCCCATGTGTATCTCAGGTCAGAATACGTCCCCAGTACCCCATGTGTATTACAGGTCAGAATAGGTCCCCAGTACCCCATGTGTATTACAGGTCAGAATACGTCCCCAGTACCCCATGTGTATTACAGGTCAGAATAGGTCCCAAGTACCCCATGTGTATTACAGGTCAGAATAGGTCCCCAGTACCCCATGTGTATTACAGGTCAGAATAGGTCCCCAGCATCCCATGTGTATTACAGGTCAGAATAGGTCCCCAGCACCCCATGTGTATTACAGGTCAGAATAGGTCCCCAGTACTCCATGTGTATTACAGGTCAGAATAGGTCCCCAGTACCCCATGTGTATCTCAGGTCAGAATAGGGCCCCAGTATCCCATGTGTATTGCAGGTCAGAATAGGTCCCCAGCACCCCATGTGTATTACAGGTCAGAATAGGTCCCCAGTATCCCATGTGTATTACAGGTCAGAATAGGTCCCCAGTACCCCATGTGTATCTCAGGTCAGAATAGGTCCCCAGTATCCCATGTGTATTGCAGGTCAGAATAGGTCCCCAGTACCCCATGTGTATTACAGGTCAGAATAGGTCCCCAGTACCCCATGTGTATCTCAGGTCAGAATAGGGCCCCAGTATCCCATGTGTATTGCAGGTCAGAATAGGTCCCCAGCACCCCATGTGTATTGCAGGTCAGAATAGGTCCCCAGCACCCCATGTGTATTGCAGGTCAGAATAGGTCCCAAGTACCCCATGTGTATTACAGGTCAGAATAGGTCCCCAGTACCCCATGTGTATTACAGGTCAGAATACGTCCCCAGTACCCCATGTGTATTACAGGTCAGAATACGTCCCCAGTACCCCATGTGTATTACAGGTCAGAATAGGTCCCCAGTTCCCCATGTGTATTACAGGTCAGAATACGTCCCCAGTACCCCATGTGTATTACAGGTCAGAATACGTCCCCAGTACCCCATGTGTATTACAGGTCAGAATAGGTCCCAAGTACCCCATGTGTATTACAGGTCAGAATAGGTCCCCAGTACCCCATGTGTATTACAGGTCAGAATAGGTCCCAAGTACCCCATGTGTATTACAGGTCAGAATAGGTCCCCAGTACCCCATGTGTATTACAGGTCAGAATAGGTCCCCAGTACCCCATGTGTATTACAGGTCAGAATACGTCCCCAGTACCCCATGTGTATTACAGGTCAGAATACGTCCCCAGTACCCCATGTGTATTACAGGTCAGAATACGTCCCCAGTACCCCATGTGTATTACAGGTCAGAATACGTCCCCAGTACCCCATGTGTATTACAGGTCAGAATAGGTCCCCAGTACCCCATGTGTATTACAGGTCAGAATAGGTCCCCAGTACCCCATGTGTATTACAGGTCAGAATAGGTCCCCAGCATCCCATGGGTATTACAGGTCAGAATAGGGCCCCAGTATCCCATGTGTATTGCAGGTCAGAATAGGTCCCCAGCACCCCATGTGTATTACAGGTCAGAATAGGTCCCCAGTACCCCATGTGTATTACAGGTCAGAATAGGTCCCCAGTACCGCAGGGGTATTACAGGTCAGAATAGGTCCCCAGTACCCCATGTGTATTACAGGTCAGAATAGGTCCCAAGTACCCCATGTGTATTGCAGGTCAGACTATGTCCCAAGTACCCCATGTGTATTACAGGTCAGACTACGTCCCCAGCATCCCATGTGTATTACAGGTCAGAATAGTTCCCCAGTACCCCATGTGTATTACAGGTCAGAATAGGTCCCCAGCACCCCATGGGTATTACAGGTCAGAATACGTCCCCAGTACCCCATGTGTATTACAGGTCAGAATAGGTCCCCAGTACCCCATGTGTAGTACCCCATGTGTATTACAGGTCAGAATAGGTCCCCAGCACCCCATGTGTATTACAGGTCAGAATAGGTCCCCAGTATCCCATGTGTATTACAGGTCAGAATAGGGCCCCAGTACCCCATGTGTATTACAGGTCAGAATACGTCCCCAGTACCCCATGTGTATTACAGGTCAGAATACGTCCCCAGTACCCCATGTGTATTACAGGTCAGAATAGGTCCCAAGTACCGCAGGGGTATTACAGGTCAGAATAGGTCCCCAGTACCCCATGTGTTTTTGTGTCAGAATAGGTCTCCAGTATCCCATGTGTATTACAGGTCAGAATAGGTCCCAAGTACTTTGTGTTTTACAGGTCAGAATAGGTCTCCAGTATCCCATGTGTATTACAGGTCAGAATAGGTCTCCAGTATCCCATGTGTATTACAGGTCAGAATAGGTCCCAAGTACTTTGTGTTTTACAGGTCAGAATAGGTCCCCAGTACCCCATGTGTATTACAGGTCAGAATACGTCCCCAGTATCCCATGTGTATTACAGGTCAGAATAGGTCCCCAGCACCCCATGTGTATTACAGGTCAGAATAGGTCCCCAGTACTATGTGTATTACAGGTCAGAATAGGTCCCCAGCACCCCATGTGTATTACAGGTCAGAATAGGTCCCCAGCACCTCATGTGTATTGCAGGTCAGAATAGGTCCCCAGCACCCCTTGTGTATTACAGGTATCAAATTTGGTGAATCAGCGACTCAATGTTTGAGCTGACTCATAAAACTGTCCAGTTTTTAGTAAACAGTTTGTTAGAAACTATTCCTGAATAAGATTGTGTCTCTTATTGTCATTGTCGGAACATTAAGGCCTCAGTGGAAGGTCCATTATGTGACTCGACTTTTGATCCTTCGGTTGTGATATGTTTATACATTCAGAGGAATGAATCAACATCTCTACACTGAGACTTTCTGCAGGTCTATACATAAGCTTACAGGCCTATATAACCTTACAAGTCACCTCCAGTGACTGGCCGCAGCTTGAAAGGGTTGCCCACATAATGTACCCTAATTTCATCATGATGCTAATGAGTCACAGTCCAGCAGTGAATGACCATGTCAAATGTTGATAGTCCAAGGGTTTCATAGCTTTTCAAGCGTGGGGTAATCCATGGTTGTCGGTTATTTGGGCATAAAAACACATTGTGGGCAAGCATAAAGGTCAGAGAAGATTTAGAAGGCCATTGTTGTCAATCATGTCATTGACATGATCAAAGGCCAGTGTTCAAAAGTAGGGAGATATGACCTTATTATGCACGTCTGGCTTTGTATGAGTGTTAATTCTTGGGACTAATGTGTATGTAATTGCTGTATAATACTGGCAGCTGTATCAGTTTGTGTGTGTGTCTGTGTTTCGTGTTTTGTGGTTCGGGTTTAACGCCACACTCAAGCAATGTGATGGCGGCCTATAAATCATCAAGTCTTAACCAGACAATCCAGTGATTGATATTTTGAGCAGTGATTCATGCCACACGGGCACAGTGCCCTTAAATAAACCGAGTCACCTGACCACCTGATCGGTTAAGCCAACTCGTAAGACCAGCATAGGTTCTATAGGTCCGATATCCCCACAAAGCGGGGGGGGAGGACAGTTCTTGTAAATGTGGTGAATGCAGAGATGTACATTCCAACAGACTTTTGGGATTTTTAGTCTTCTACACAGTGACTAGCTTGCAAGGTTAGGGTTTTCGGGTAGTAGTATAGTTTGCTGCTATACATCTGACTGAGGCATGGGACCCATGAAGATCTGAGGGTATAACAAGTCCATAACCAATATCACTTTAATCACTTTAAGCTGTCCAGTTGACACAATTGTTAACATCAGTATTAAATCGTCTTTTAAAATATGATTGAATACCGACTAATTATCCTTCCTACATTTGCAGATGCAGCTTGAAATAGAAGCTCTGCAGAAAGAGGTGACATCGAGCCGTGGCGCCATGCATCGGACTCAGGCCTGCTTTCACCAACACCAGGCCAAGGCGAACTTCCTCACCACATCATTGCAGGCGCAGCTTCGGCACAAGGACCAGGAACTTCGTCGACTTGCACTGAAACAGGAGCGGCAGGTTGAGAAGATTGTGGCTCATCTGTTATTCCTTGAAGGACAGATAAGAAAAGATCAGAAAAATGTGGTGAATGTGTTGCTTGAGAAAGACAAAAAAATAAAATCTCAACAGACAGAAATTGATGATTTAAGGTATAAAAACAACAAATTAATTGCAGCGTTAAAAGAACTTCACATGCCCCCTGGCACTAATGGGATCACTCCTGAAAAGCATTACGAAAAGTCTGACGGAGGGGGAAATAACTCTGTCAAAACCCCGAAAGATAAGGACAAAATGCACAAGCTGCGATTCAGCGGAATGCGTGACAGACTACGTCGACATCGGAGCAGTTTTGAGCTGCATCACCCGGAGCCGCTAGAAACTCTCGAGGAGACAACCGTCAGGTCCTGTAGCCAGGAGAACCTCGCTGACGAGAACAAGGACATAAAGAAGGATCGGAGAATGAGTGTTCCGGGAAAAGAACGACCTCGCAGTATGATTGAAATGCCTCAAAGAACCAACGAATATCCGTTGTTGGAGTTTCCACAAGAAATTGACTTCACTCATGACTACGAGGATGAAGTTTATGACAAAATTGATGATGATGACATTTTCACTAACGGCTGTGATGAGCCTGCCGATATTCCCAAGTCCTATTCGCTGCCTCAGGATCTATCACGTATCGCCAATGGCAACCATTCGGAGGTGAAGGAAAGGCCACATTCCATGTCAAGTGTCGATATGTATGCATTGGACAAAATGTCAAAATCCCCTGGTCACAAACAGCAGCATCACAAACCACATCAACAGCAACATCATCAACCTCATCATCAGAGCTCTCCGGGTGAATCAAATCCGTTCAAGAGCATAAAGACGATGTTAAAGAGAAAAGGGAGCAAACTCCGCAAGAAGCGCTCTGTCTCCCTTCCTCAGGGAACAAACCAGGAGTATGCAGAGGCCTTAAAAAAACACTTTGAGAAGTACGACCTGTCTTGATGAGAAACAGGACATCATCTTGTGATTGGGGGCGGTCAGGTAGCCTAGTGGTTAAAGCATTCGCTTGTCAACCCAAAAACCCGGGTTCGATTCCCGACATGGGTACAATGTGTGAAGCCATTTCTGATGTCCCCCGCCGTGATATTGCTGGAATATTGCTAAAAGCGACGTAAAATCAAACTCACTCACTCATCTTGTGATTGCGACCACAAATACAACCTTTGTTATCGGAAAAAAACATAAATGGATCCATCGGATGACGGCCTGTGAGGAGGAGCATTGCCGTTCAATCTCTAACTGCCTGGCTATGTAGTATGCAAAATTTTAATTTTCCCATCAAAAATTAAATTGAAATCGGACACCGTTCCGTGCAGATGGGAAGTGACTGCAAATATATCTGACTTTGTGTCCAACCTGTGCCACTGTGATAGACAAGAGTCATTTGTTCAGTAGAGTTATATGACCACAACTACTATATTGTGTATATTACCTTAAACACCTGATAGTGTGGATGTTGTGGCCTTATAGTGATGTGTCTGTGTATCGGAATCAGTTGTGTCGGAGTTCAACAATGCTCTTCCTGACGATCTGTACTGTGAGAGGATGTGGATGTGTCGGTGTGACATCATGGCCGGTGTTCGTGGGATGACATGACATGACACGGGTCAGGAAACCTTAAGAGTGAATGTGATTGGGTTTATCTCTGACAGAAGTGGCACTAGGCACTACATGTTTCCCTGACGTCACATATAACATGTTGATTATCACAGAAGGCCTAGTCAGTCCATTTTCCATTCCACAACCAAAAGTCTTCAATGCAAAGTTGAAATCAAACCAAATGTTTTATATGATTTGTTTGAGAAAAGTTTATCACAAAGTTTTAAACTGAAGTTAGACTTTGGCTTTAACAGGATTTATTGGGATGGTGTGTTTACGTTTGTTGCAGGCATATATGGAATGATTAACAATACACAAGTCTGTAGATATCAAGAACATTGACATCAGGAATACCTCATGAATCAGAGTTGGAATAGTCAATATTCCGATCTGTGACATCTCCCACATCTCTAAATGTTCTAAACCCATGACACAGGACACGGTATCCCTACAAAATGGCCTCCATTGTGTGGCAGACGCAGGAAGACCCTGCAAGAGGCATCACAGCCGCCTGTACACTGCTTGACTCGCGTTCTCTATCAGTAACCAGCGGGTAATTGGAGGATGTAATGTAATTGGAGACTTGTAAACTTGAGATGTCACTCTGATGTACTCAACCATGAAGGTGACAGTGTCATCTTGTACTTTACCGTGTCCTTGGTGACGTGATCAGAGTGGAAAACCTAGAATTGGATACAACTTAGCCCAGGATTGTCAGTTTATTCCAGAACAGGTACAGGAGTTGCAGTGGAATGTTTGAAATACACTGTAACAGGAACTTGTACATAACAGTAACAGAGTGACAACAGAAACTTGTGGTCACTTGTTCTTTTTTGTGTGTTCATGTCCATGCCTTGTAAATGTGTTCAGTGAGTGGAGTAAGGGAGACAACTCCTGTATATTAAGGATTTCCGTGTGTTGAAGAATAACTGTCCTGCTCAAATGGACTTTCGAAGCTTGTTGATGAAATGGACGGATTATATAGGGTTCTTATCACCAACTAACAACAATCAAGATGTGTGGATGTATGCACTGTCCATTAAGGAAAGGAACTGCACTATTGGTCACACTGTGTTTCTGGCCTCCTTAGGGATTAAGGTAGAGAAATTAAGCTCATGAACATGTTCTCAATCAGCAGAGTGCAAATTTTGTATATTTGAGTAAAACAACCAGCCAAGATTCATAGATTTTTCTCACTATATTTTAGACATAAGAAAATATAAGCATTATTATTACAATGTGAAATAAATACTAATGGTTCATTATTTTATTGGCTCTTAAAAGTTAATTGTCTTATATTGAACCCTTGTTCATAATAATAATTTAATCAAAACCTATGATATTATTTAAGCTAATTGACAGTAGATATACAAGTAATATCATTCAGATGGCCTTTTCAAGTCTGTGGGTAACATTTCTATATCCAGAATACATATGACAGCATTGCTTGAATTTAGTGGCAGAAATGTAGAAGGAATGCCACAATGATCTGTTATAACAGCAATGTTCCAGCTATGTCACAAATACTGTAAATCTTGAAATTAATGTGAGCGTGGATTAAATGCAAAAAATATGTGAGCAGTTAGTTTTTCATCTTAAGTAAACTAACTTAATAATTAAAAATTAATCATTGACTAAATAATTACTTTGAAAAGAAAATATCAGTATCGACTAGTAGATACACAATTCATGAAGTGATCATTTGAGAAATATGAAATAATGATTTTGAGTTAGTTTTTTTAATTTTGCTACAAATAAGGCCGACAACCATTTTATGTTCTGTTTACTTCAGCAAGGTCGTGTTGTTTTAACATAGATGGGCCAAAAGTGGAAACAAATCACAAGTCAATGCGTTAATTTACACTGTACATAAAATATTCAAGTTTATACCTTTCACAATTTTCTATATTTACATATTTTTTTGATGATATTGTAATGCAATTCTTGGCGTTTAGGTATTTTTTTTAATCAAGTTCTATATGTAGTTAGCACAAATATTTGAGGGATGATGATATATATTTTGTTGTGAGAATCAATCAGTGTTAAGTACATGTGTGTTTGAGAACACTATCAAGGACTGGATGTGTTGAATGTTACAATGGTAACTGTACTACATAACATTTGCTAAGGACCAAATCTTTGACTAAAGAAGACCTTTTTGGTCATTACAAATGTTGAGTAGTATAGTACCCAGCATGCATCATTCCTGGCACTCATTAAGCCAATCACGTATACAAAGCTAGACTTAACCAAGTCTGGCGGGTAGTATTTTTTAAAAGAAATATTAACACATTATGGTAGCCAAACCACAAATCATCATACAATCTCCCTCCTCTGCCATTGTCAGACTGAGAGTTTTGTTTTGTTTAAATGCCATGCTCCACAATATTCCAGCTGTATGATAGTGGCCTGAATGTGTCTTATGACTATGAGAGGGTAGTGTATAAGTGGTGTAACGATACGGCAATAGATAAGAGGGGCCCACGATACAATACATTGATTTACAACCCCTGTATTGCGATACATACGATGCATTTCATTTCAAGTTATATTGGTGTAAAAACATGTGAATAATAACAGAAACTGTTCAACCACCAGCTTACACAGATTCTCTAGTATTTCATGGTTGGACATAAACAGCATAACATTCACAGAGCCCTCTACCAGTATGTTTCCAACAATATCCATCTTTGATGTCTGAAATTTGATAACAAATAATTCAGGGTTGTGATTCACCTGCAAAAAAAGAAAGAATATGTGCTTGTGAAATAAAAGTATTGTATCAGGATACAAATCGTATCACACCCATAGTAGTGGGATACGAATCGTATTGCGATCCCACGATATCGTTACACCTATATTGACAAGCATGCAAGGTGCTCTGAGACTTGTAAAGATCTGGAACTGGGGAAGACTACCTGCTTCCACCTAAAATCCAGTTACCGAAGTGTGAGAGTAAGATTCTGAAAGGTTTACTTCATATTTCACATCTTGTTGTACAACAGTGACACCAGTACCACAGACCAGGTGATAACTGAACTTATGTATTGAACAAGCTTTTCTGCTTAAGTCTAGTCCATGGAATTCTGTACATAAATTTGTCTTAATTTATTCTAAAGTACCATATCGCAGTGTTTGTACATACCCATTGTTTTCATCTTGTTTATTTAGTGCATGCTTAACTTATGTTTATTAGCTGTAAATCTACAACAGTGTTTCTTGACGTGGCGAAGCGATTTGCTTAATAGAGTTTTGTGTTACAAAGTACAAGCTTGTTAGGTGTTTGGTTTTTTACTTTAAGTCTACAGATCTACCAACCCATAATTTCACAGATACATAACAAACGTTTTGAATACTAAGTTTGTTAACATTTTTTTTACTAATACAACTCCAAAGTACACTGATACGGAATGGAAGTACAGTGTAACCTTGCTTATCCGGACACTTGCGTTTCTCCAATATTGTGCGGATAAACAAATTTCGGATATCTGAAACCTTTGTCAACTGACCACAGTTACCTTCCCTACCCAAATTCTACGGAGGCTAAAAACCCTATCTTATAATGCATAAGGTTTTACGAGTATCACGTGCTATAAATAGCTACATCAAATCCCTTCAGTGAATTTGGGTAAAGGAACACGTGATCACAAAAGTGGTCAATAGAAATGTGAAATTTGCGATAAGACATGATGATATTCTATTTAAATTGTATTTCGTGTTCCGCTAGGCATTGTTTTATATGCAGGAATTAAGATTAACATGTGTATATGTCTCGTAAATCAATTAAAGCCAGAAATAGCATTCATTTGCTCTCAGATAAGCGAGATTCCACTGTAGCTCTTTTACATGCCATTCGATGAAATATTTCAAACTGCATCTTTCTTTCACATTTATATATGCCACTCTGCTAACCATATTATCAAGAGACCCCATAAAACCAAAAACAAATCATTTTCATTCCAAAAACTTGTGGTCTTGAATATTTTTTCTGGGGGGAGGGGGCTGGGGCTTGTCGCTTGTCACAGTGACTAGGGTGTAATGGGTGCTGTGTTAAAGCAGAAAACTTCCTGAGCTCATGGTTTTTAGGTGGGACCAGTGTATTTACTTTTTACTATTTTCTTTGTCTGTGTGTCAAAAGGACGGAGCCATATAAAAATGTTGGGTAATTTCCATTTGAAAGTTTTTGAAAAAACAGTTTGAACAACATACAAACAAAAAGGATGCTTTTCAAGCAAAGATGTTTTAAGAATGTGTAGTAGACTAGTCTAAAATGTTATCCAAATATTGCCTTGCTTTAAGACATTTGAAAGGCTACCCAAGCCGATAAACTCCATCCCAGCAAGCAAGAGACATTGAAGACATCTTGTCTTAGTAGATTCACACAAATGAAGACGTCACAATTATTTCCTTAATTAAATAGTTACATTTTTGTTAGTTTATTTTATACTACTGAAAAGAAGTTAAGGACCAACCGATTATTTCATATTACTAT